GGGGGGGTATTGTGGCAATTTAAAATAATATTTATTTTCTGGTTTCATGTTCAGCTTAACTGGCATCAGCTGAAATCCAAAATTTAGCACTTGAGCTATTGATATATTGTACTGAAACTTGTTATACTTACAGGTGAAAGTATTGAATTTCAAGTTTGATTGAAACAGTAAAAAGTGTGTTTCGTTAATCCTGATATTCATTTATCTGAATGATTATGATTGGAAGGGTGCAAACTGGATTATCAATGGTTGACTGTGAAGTTGACAATGAAGTCTGCATAACTTCTAGTGAACATTTTAGACACGCCAGATACAATGGGTTTGCTTCATGGTTAAGAAAGCATTTGTTCTTCATGCCAAAGGCTTGGTTCCCAGTTGGGGTACAGTGTATAAAGCCTAGAGCTGATTATCACGTCGTGTCTTGCGATATGATTCGTATCACGATACGGACTGACAATACTACTGGTATCATGATACACCACATCATTTATCAAATTGGAAGAAATTATGAAATCCCTAAAATATAGCTCTAATACCTCTTTCTTCATACATTTATTTATTGTTATCTCAAAAACTTTAACAAGAAAACCACAAGCACATAACAGTTTTAAATGAATGGATGGTTATTAAATGTAACGGTTAGTCGGCATTTCCTTGGCAACCAGGTCCTTGTGTTGGGCCATGCTTACAGGTGGCACTGTACTACTTCTGCTATTGGGGGAGGTAACTCTATTAGTTCCTGTTCTATTTATAGCATATCGCGATCTCACAAACTGACGATTCAAGTATCGTGTGTACCTAAGTATCGATGAAATCGTTACAGCCCTCTTGATGTCCCAAATGTAGGTGCAGTATGCTAACTAGGACTGCAAGGTATACCAGGATATTGCAATACACTTTCACTTTTCAAACCATTCATACTGCAGGAACTTTTCTGTGTTCTGGAATATTGGGTACAAAAATATTTAACAATTGTCCTATTATTTGCATTGATTAACCTAAAATCTTCACACAAATTTCATTCACAAATGATGTTTCCCTGTGTAATTGATTGACAAAACAGACGGAAAGGTGGAGGTGATGTTTCTCTCACGTTGTTATCTTCACTGTATCCATGCCGACAAAATGGCCGCAACTGACCATGCTGAGTTTGACATTGTAATTGTAATATTTACTTAAGTATGTAGAACTAGGATCTGCATGTACAATCACTGTAAGACGACGTCAGCCTCAATACATCGCCATATGTATCGCAATAAGAATATACAAGTCTTGGGCCAGTCCACAGCCCTAATGCTAAGAGCAGTGTAAGAACTCCCTCACTCACCTGAGTGAACCAATATGCCTGGCTTTGTTTCCTTCTTTCCTTCTGATCTGCTGTGTAATGAATTCATAATTAGAAACATTGATATGAAGACGATTCAGTTTCAATCTATTTAAATTCTTTTCCTTATATTTTTGTGTGAGATTGGGATGACTGAATCGAGTCTGCTAGCAGCCGGCACAGAAATTATGACGTCCATGTTGGTTCATTTTCCTTGTTCATTTGTGTTCCTGCGAATGCCATTGCATTGGCACGATCCTTTCAATATGCAACAGAATCAGGAAATTGCGTTCTTTACCTCTGAAGAGCTGCTGCAAGCTTGTGTGAATATTCATGTTGTATTGATAACTCCATCACATGCTTTGAGGTTTTCTAAATATATGTGTTCACCTGAGAGTAAATGCACACTAGGAAGACAGATGAATATTGAGTGGTTCTTTCATTGTGAATCAAAATTGAACATCGATTTCCTAGACCTTTTTGTGCCACTTTCTGTAGGCTACTGGGGCAGGCTGTCAGTTGGGTGATGTTTTCCTGATCATACAGAAACTTGACCCCTACTCCTGCATCTGTCCTTGGGTTGACAAATAAGGGAATTGGTTGTCACAATGAATGCTGGGTATGGATCACTTCCTGGCTGCGACTGTCTTGTTGTCCTGATGACTGACAAGCTTGTGTGATAAGACTGTCCATTGATTGTCTTGTTGGCCCGATAACAGACAAGCCCCTGTGATAAGACTGTTGTCCATTGATGGTCTTGTTGGCCTGATAACAGACAAGCTTGTGTGATAAGACTGTTGTCCATTGATTGTCTTGTTGGCCTGATAACAGACAAGCCCCTGTGATAAGACTGCTGTCCATTGATGGTCTTGTTGGCCTGATAACAGACAAGCCCCTGTGATAAGACTGTTGTCCATTGATTGTCTTGTTTGCCTGATAACAGACAAGCCCCTGTGATAAGACTGTTGTCCATTGATTGTCTTGTTGGCCCGATAACAGACAAGCCCCTGTGATAAGACTGTTGTCCATTGATTGTCTTGTTGGCCTGATAACAGACAAGCCCCTGTGATAAGACTGTTGTCCATTGATGGTCTTGTTGGCCTGATAACAGACAAGCCCCTGTGATAAGACTGTTGTCCATTGATTGTCTTGTTGGCCTGATAACAGACAAGCCCCTGTGATAAGACTGTGGTCCATTGATGGTCTTGTTGGCCTGATAACAGACAAGCCCCAGTGATAAGACTGTGGTCCATTGATGGTCTTGTTGGCTGATAACAGACAAGCCCCTGTGATAAGACTGTTGTCCATTGATGGTCTTGTTGGCCTGATAACAGACAAGCCCCTGTGATAAGACTGTGGTCAATTGATTGTCTTGTTGGCCTGATAACAGACAAGCCCCTGTGATAAGACTGTTGTCCATTGATGGTCTTGTTGGCCTGATAACAGACAAGCCCCTGTGATAAGACTGTGGTCCATTGATGGTCTTGTTGGCCTGATAACAGACAAGCCCCTGTGATAAGACTGTTGTCTATTGATGGTCTTGATGGCCTGATAACAGACAAGCTTATGTGATAAGACTGCTGTCCATTGATGGTCTTGTTGGCCTGATAACAGACAAGCCCCTGTGATAAGACTGTTGTCCATTGATTGTCTTGTTTGCCTGATAACAGACAAGCCCCTGTGATAAGACTGTTGTCCATTGATTGTCTTGTTGGCCCGATAACAGACAAGCCCCTGTGATAAGACTGTTGTCCATTGATTGTCTTGTTGGCCTGATAACAGACAAGCCCCTGTGATAAGACTGTTGTCCATTGATGGTCTTGTTGGCCTGATAACAGACAAGCCCCTGTGATAAGACTGTTGTCCATTGATTGTCTTGTTGGCCTGATAACAGACAAGCCCCTGTGATAAGACTGTGGTCCATTGATGGTCTTGTTGGCCTGATAACAGACAAGCCCCAGTGATAAGACTGTGGTCCATTGATGGTCTTGTTGGCTGATAACAGACAAGCCCCTGTGATAAGACTGTTGTCCATTGATGGTCTTGTTGGCCTGATAACAGACAAGCCCCTGTGATAAGACTGTGGTCAATTGATTGTCTTGTTGGCCTGATAACAGACAAGCCCCTGTGATAAGACTGTTGTCCATTGATGGTCTTGTTGGCCTGATAACAGACAAGCCCCTGTGATAAGACTGTGGTCCATTGATGGTCTTGTTGGCCTGATAACAGACAAGCCCCTGTGATAAGACTGTTGTCTATTGATGGTCTTGATGGCCTGATAACAGACAAGCTTATGTGATAAGACTGCTGTCCATTGATGGTCTTGTTGGCCTGATAACAGACAAGCCCCTGTGATAAGACTGTTGTCCATTGATTGTCTTGTTTGCCTGATAACAGACAAGCCCCTGTGATAAGACTGTTGTCCATTGATTGTCTTGTTGGCCTGATAACAGATAAGCCCCTGTGATAAGACTGTGGTCCATTGATGGTCTTGTTGGCCTGATAACAGACAAGCTTGTGTGATAAGACTGCTGTCCATTGATGGTCTTGTTGGCCTGATAACAGACAAGCCCCTGTGATAAGACTGTTGTCCATTGATTGTCTTGTTTGCCTGATAACAGACAAGCCCCTGTGATAAGACTGTGGTCCATTGATGGTCTTGTTGGCCTGATAACAGACAAGCCCCTGTGATAAGACTGTTGTCCATTGATTGTCTTGTTGGCCTGATAACAGACAAGCCCCTGTGATAAGACTGTGGTCCATTGATGGTCTTGTTGGCCTGATAACAGACAAGCCCCTGTGATAAGACTGTTGTCCATTGATTGTCTTGTTGGCCTGATAACAGACAAGCCCCTGTGATAAGACTGTGGTCCATTGATGGTCTTGTTTGCCTGATAACAGACAAGCCCCTGTGATAAGACTGTTGTCCATTGATTGTCTTGTTGGCCTGATAACAGACAAGCCCCTGTGATAAGACTGTGGTCCATTGATGGTCTTGTTTGCCTGATAACAGACAAGCCCCTGTGATAAGACTGTTGTCCATTGATTGTCTTGTTGGCCTGATAACAGACAAGCCCCTGTGATAAGACTGTGGTCCATTGATGGATTTTTGGCCTGATAACAGACAAGCTTGTGTGATGAGACTGTGGTCCATTGATGGTCTTGTTGGCCTGATAACAGACAAGCGCCTGTGATAAGACTGTGGTCCATTGATGGTCTTGTTGGCCTGATAACAGACAAGCCCCTGTGATAAGACTGTGGTCCATTGATGGTCTTGTTGGCCTGATAACAGACAAGCTCGTGTGATAAGACTGTTGTCTATTGATTGTCTTGTTGGTCGTGTTTCTATCACTGGTTCAAGGCCTACCCAGGGTGTTTCTGTTACTGGTGCAAGGCCTTCCCAGGGTGTTATCTACAACTATCTTCATATGGCTTTCATTGCTACCCCAGATCCTTAGTCAAGTGTCAAGAGTCAGAAGGGTAAACCTACAGTAAAGTGACATTAAAACATGGATTCTGTGTCATATCAGGTTTAGTCCAAAACATGTGCACATTTACTAATAATTCCTAATATTGATCAATTCATCACATTTCTGAACAGAAATTTGATTCTCTTATTTGCATCTGTCTTTGTTTGTGTTTATGATGACTATGATTATGATTGTTGTTATTGCAGAGGTCCCCAATGCCAGCTCCCCTGGGACGTACCGCCCTCCGCCCCGCACCCGTGAGGTGGTGGTCAAGGGACAGGTTGTCAAGCTCAAGTACTGCTTCACATGTAAAATATTTCGCCCCCCTCGGGCTTCCCACTGCAGCCTTTGTGATAATTGCGTTGGTAAGTATGATGTCTGTGTGTCTTCCACACGTATGACCACACCTTTCTGTCCTCCTCGTACACACTGGGGATTCAGGAATCACAAACCTGGGAATTCGGGGTAGGAATATAGGTCCCCAGCAACCTGTACTTTCACAAAGGAATTTCTTTTGTCCCATGGTTACCCGGGGTAGAATGTGACTGCGAGGTGTCAAAGGCGACCATTTTGGGAATCTGTAGGGCTTCCAGATTAGAATTGGTTCCTATCTACCTTTGCTGGTCGTAAGAGGCGATTTAATGAATCGGGAGGTCAGGCTCTGAGACTTGGTTCAGGGTGTGTCATTGTTTCCCAATTGGGTGGATTGATGCTCATGATGTCAATGACTGGATTGTCTGGTCATTGTGCCGAAATATCGCTGAGTGTGATGTTAACCAGGTGGTTAGGCTCTGAGACTTGGCTGTTTTATGTGTCATTGTACACCAGGGTCACAGCTCATACTGCCAGACTGGTTTGTCTGGTCCATGCCTAAAGGCTGGCCTGTCAATAATCGAGTCTGGCTAAGACAATCCAGTGATTGACATCATCACTGTCGATCCATGCAATGGTGATACAATGACATGTATACATTAACCAAGTCAGCGAGCCTGACCCCCCGATCCCTTTAGTTGCCTCTTAAGACAAGCTTAGTCGCCTTTTACACACACAAACACACTCTCCCACCCACACACAAACACACTTACCCACCCACACACCCACACACAAACCCACCCACAAACTCACTCACCTACCCACACACCCACCCACACCCACCTACCTACCAACACAACCACCTACCTACATTCCAACTTACCAGTGTTCAAGATTGGGCCTGAATGTTAAGGGACCCTTGTCATGACCTTCATATTACAGGTTAGGATGTTGGGGTTCCCCAGATTCAAATACTGTAGGAGCAGACCTCCAGGACTCCAGAACCCCACCTAATTTCTACCAACTCTCACGGCACGTTTCCTTCCCAGCTGGAGGGAGTGTCCAGTATACTCTGGTGTACATGGTTTTGTATTGATTTCTGTACATTTATTCTGGAGAGATGATAAATGTTATAGCAGAATGGCTGAGCATGATACTAGGGTTGTATTTACCTACTGTTTTCTGATGGATAATATGGAAATTGTGAGGAAAAGGTGCAGGTCTTTATAGAGACGTACGCAGCACTTATTCCCGAGGGCAAGAAATCATCTGGGAGATATATCTTTAGCCTTTGCGAGTTATTGATTTCAGAAATAATAGGTCTGAACGTTTGGGTATGTGAAGGATATCCTTCTATCTGTTTTGGAATCTATTATTCAGTGACTGAACATTATGTATCGACATGTTGAAACATGGAACACTGACAGAGCTTCATAGATCCAGCCCATGCCACTGTGCAAAGAGAATTGTGCAAGCTGGAGTCAGTGATGAAAAATTGATAATCTGTCGGTAGGTTTGACCTATATCTGCAGTTGCTCTTTCTCAATGTGAAGCTTTTGGGCATTGATTTTTGGGATAAAGAGCTGATACTGACCTTTGTGTCTCGCTTTGTGAAATGCAGCATGATTCTGAGAATATGTGGGAGTGTGTGAAGTATGTTAGTCTCAGATGTGTGATGGCAGGTGTTCATAGTTGAAGATCTTCTCATCTGATTCAAATACCATTGGTATGTTGAGAAGAAAAGGCCCCATGTATCTTGTCCATGCTTCTGAAAACAAAAATGGGATCAAGTTGGATACAGATCTGAGCTCTAGATGCGTAAAATCAATCGCCATTACCCAATTAATTTTGAGTTTCTTGCCTACACATTCTCAGGAAAAATTTAAAACGCTACATAATTTACTTAATAAATTTGCTATAATCAGACCCAATGGGATTCTGGTTTAGAATTGGTCCCTAGGAACCTATGCTTGTCGTACAAGATAACAATGGATCTGGTTGTCGGGCATACCCAGGCGGTATGGGACGTTGTTCATAATATCAATCACTGGTTTCCTTGTCCAGACTTGATTGTTTACAGGCCACCGTCATATGACTTATATGTTTGTGAGTGTGGGATGAAACAAACAAACTATGAAGTGTATATTAGGGGCCTGTTCAAAAGTTTGATGTCGAATAATAATCTCAATTCCTTAAGTTTATGGGTTAGGGGATTAATGGCCCTGCAAGTTTTCCATCCAACAAAATGAACTAACCTGATTCCTCAATGTGTAATATAGTAAGGGAACTAAATAGGGCTGGGACGGGTAAGTCGGGTACCCGGGTCGGGTGGGTACTGAGAAGGACCCGGGTACCCACAGGGCTACCCGGACCCGTGGTTAGTCACGTGATATATTGTTTACTGACAAAAATATCTAGAACTCTATGGTTAAACTAAAAGTCACTAATGTTCGCATTTCTTTCTGACTATGCACCCATTCCTTCTGATTTTTCATATAGTTGTATAAAGATATAACTTAATTCAGCTTCAGTGTATGAATGACCAGATTGTTTCATACGTGTATCTAAATACGTTTTTGGCAGGGCTATGCTATAAATGTTCCCAATCCGACTTTTTGAGATATCTCCTGAGACCTACAGTGGGTACCCGGGTAGGGTCGGGTAATAGGGGGGTGGGTACCCAGGTAGGGTCGGGTAATAGGGAGGTGGGTACCCGGGTAGTAAATTTGGACTCGTCCCAGCCCTAGAACTAAACCAATCCTGTTTTAATTCAGATGCTGTTAGCAGTTGTCATTAAATACATCCAGTCCATCTAGTGTAGTGTGTAATATATGATGACAGATTTGATCTATAAAAACCCAACAAATTATTGTCAACACCAAGTAAATAAACTTCATTCAATATACATTCCGAAAACAACAGGGCAAAACACGAATGTGTGACAATAGAGCCCACGGAAAATGGAAATTCATCATTTTCAGAATTAAGTTTTTATAGTGGGTAAGGAATTAAGTTTTTTATCCGACGTCAAACTTTTGAACTGGTCCCTCAATCCACTGCACAGTAGAACTTGACGCTGCTTGTGTACAAGCAATAACACGATAAAATGCAACTCAGAAAAGAAGAAGAGGAACTTTACAGACTCATATGCATTATGCCCTCTTTTGAAACTTAATCTTTTTTCTCCCTGCTGAATGTTAATTATTCTTCACAGATGTAGATATGGAAAGGAAATATTGTCAAAACAGACACCCAAACAGCATTTCTGTTTTATATTCTATCTCACCATACATAATACATTTTTTAAGCTCCTGACGGAAAATATCCAAGTATTAAAGGGAAAGTAATTACATTCAGAAATTCAGTTTAGATAATTGTACTACAAGTTGTAATACAGCTAGAACCTAACGACTGGCCGATGAAGAAACCCTTCACCTAGACGTGTAACTAGACCTCTTGTAACTTGCCGTTTCAGAATGAAAGGAAGTAAGTGCTGATACAGTCTGTGCCAAAACCTTTTGAGACTCTCCAAATATGACTCTTCGCATCATTTGAATTTAGTATTTATGTGGGCTTTTTGTGAGGTGATCTCACTAGCCTAAACAGAATTTTGCTAGACTCTGGCTTCAGACCAGTGGCTAAAGTCGCAGACTGCTGATATCTAGATTCAGCTACTGAGGAATGTATCCAACTGTTTCTTGACTGTTAGGCTGGGACTGCAGGTGTACAGTTACAGATCTTGATGGTTGCTGGCCTAATCACACCTCCCCTGGGATTCAAGGGGAGCTGTCGTGTTACATGTAACATGTGTTTTAGTCTCCCCTACACTAATAGCTGTTACGGAGTGCCCATGCATCCTGCGTGTCTGACATTGTGTGGGCCAGCATTCTATTATATTGCTGTTAACAGGTATGGTGAAGTGTGTCAGGTTACAGTGCGAAGTGTGTTTCTGGAACACCCAGGTGTTGGTAATGATGTTCTGAAAGAGCAGAGGAGACGAGCTGCCTGAAGTTAGTCTAATCAAACGGTCACAGAAAGTGTGGCATTTCCTTTTGGAAACAAAGACAGTTATGTACATTAATGTTTCAGTTTGGACCTTTTGTTATGCTGCACATTAAAAAAGTATCACAATTTTTTATAAGAAAGACTGGAATGAGGAGGATATTTAGGAGACTAGAAATATCAACTTTAAAACTAGTATGAATGATTTCAGTATTGTTTCAGTGTGAAGATCCGGGGTAGAATAGGTCTTCAGCAACCCAAGATTTTGTCTTGCCGTACAAGGCGGCTATGCTTTTGTTGTAAGAGAAGACTAACTGGATCTGGTGGTCAGGCTCGCTGACTTGGTTGATGCCTGTCATCGATCCCAATTGAGTGGATCGATGCTCATGATGTCAATCACTGGATTGTCTGGTCCAGACTCGATTATTTACAGACCGCCATCATATAGCAGGAATATTGCTGAGTGCGGCGTTAAACAACAAACAAACAAACAAAACAAACAAAGCTTCAGTGTGTGTGTCTAAATGGACCAGGCAAGCCAGTGATTGTAAGCAAGATCAGGATCCACTGACTAATGATGACTAAGGGATCGGGTCGTCAGGCACGCTGACTTGGTTGATGCATGTCATCATTTCCCAATTGTGCGGATCGATGCTCATGATGTCAATCACTGGATTATTTACAAACTGCTGTCATATAGCTGGAATATTGCTGAGTGAGTGTTAGACAACAAACAAACAATGTCATGGCAGTGTGTTTACCTGTCGGGGAGTGAGACAAGCCAGTGGATGATGGCAAGTGGAACGATCCTTATTTTACTATCAGTGTGGCACAAAGACCCCCAAACATACAGGTCATTCGTTCCTCAGTGTGTCAGCTTGTGAAGAACATTGGATACTTTGGACCTCTGTTGTCCTGAATCACTACGCAGATAAAAGAGCGGACATTGAAAACTGTTCTATAAAAGATGGGACATTTTAATGAAAACTGTTCAATTGTGAGAGTGGACATTTTAATGGAAACTGTCTGGCCTGCTTTTGTGAACAGTTGCCGCCGGCCCAACACACAAGCTCTTGTGCTGAATACCTGTTTAATTGTCTCTGTAGTCGACTGCTGAATCCTGTACATTCCACACAGGTAATCTGGGTGAGGGGAAGGCAGCTCCAGACTTTACAGTTTGTTTTCATAGTCTCACCAGACAGACCAATCAGCTTACACACAGGATCCAGCCTCAAATTATGTCTCGGCATAGGTAGATCCAGAGTGGGGATCGTGGGGTCCCCGCTTTTGAAAACCAAACGTTTGTTGGAGACAGAAAAATTGTCTGGGAGAGGATTTTGACATTTTGGACCTCTCCCTTTCAAGAATGCTGGATCTGCCCTTGCTGGAGCAGATTAGATCCTTTTTAAGTCCTCTTTAGTCAGCTCTCGTGACAAGCATGGGTATACCTGGTACCCTACCCCTGGGATTCTGGGTAGAAGTGGTCCCCAGCAGCTTGAGTTGGCCGAAAGGATTGGGTGTAAGTCTTAATGGATTTGGTGGTCAGGTTTGATGACTTTGTAGGTGCCGTACCCTGTTGAGGTGGATCATTGCTCATAATATCAATCACTGGATTGTCTAGTCCAGACTCAATCGTTTACAGGTCACTGGAATATTGCTGAGTGTGAAACAAACAAAACAAACCTAGGTATAGTCCTTGTTAGCATGGTTAGTCATCCCTTATGCATGCATGACATTTTGTAGATATCATCGAGGGATAAATATGTGGTTCAGTTTAAAACTACCGTGGAGAATGAATATTTTACAGAGTTATGGCCCTTGTTTGATCTTTTGGACATGATCGTGCACAAAACCGCCAAAGGAACAATTATTATCAGAACCACCATAGATGACATTTTGAATATGCGGTACATCATTAAGTGATTGGTCATATGGATGACTTTGCCTTCTTGTTATATGTTATTGTTCGCTGTACAGGAAGTTGTGGCATGTACTGTCAACTCCTGACCCACATTTGATGATTTACAGGCCCCATAGATAATAATAATGATCATTATCATAATAATCATAATACATGTAGGCCATTTATGTTGCACATATTTCCACACACACAAGGACATGCTAAAAGTGCTATTATTAGTAATATATTACAGGGTTAGAAACTAACAGTTTTTGTCCACTAGTCCTTATAATGATAACTTATAGCAAAACCCCTTAAAATGGGCCAATTTCTACTAGTCCTTAGGATACTTTTACTATTGGGCCGTCTGGTAAGGACTACAGGACTGGTGCCAATTCTAACACTGTATTACCCCGGTAACTGGATCAGTGTGCACTCAAGAATCATTCTCAGCTCCTTTGGGAGTATACAACCCAGGCTGCCTTTGGGCGCTAGAAGTTGAACCAGGTACCCCCATTCAATGCTGTGTGAACCAAGGCACATTTGGAACAATGTACTTTGCCCAAGGAGATACAGCTGTAGTATCGTTAACAACCTTCACAGACCCATTCACCCTAATTATGTCCAAATCTTCTTCAATATGACATGGTAGATTTTAGATTTTGTTGTTGTAGTAACTAGTAATTTGAACTCTGTCCATAACCATAGAAAATAATAATTGCCATGATATTTATGGAATTACCTACACTCAACTCATTCGAAATCCACCTACACTGAACCAGTTCCAAACCTCACCATCATCTGAACAAGCGATCCAAAATATGGTCTTGATAAAATCACCCAGAAAGGAAGACAATTGAAGGTGGCAGAACCAACCTATGTTATATCCCTTGTATTCCCCATTTCTACCAGTTCTTCATGATAACACATAATTGCTGGTGTATAACTGATGCTATACGATTGTCTGGAGACATCTACAGAAGCTCAGGTCGCTTCCAGCCATGAATATGGAAATACAGCGCCAGCGTCATGCATTATGTATTGGCTGTAGCCAAGTCACTGACGTTAGATATCGAGGTGACCACGATAACGATACAAATGTTGGCCAGACAACGGTCATAGGTTTTACTTTTGTACGTGCAAAGTGGTTTGTTATTGATGTTTGGTTTGTACGACCTCCCTCTAAAGCTGTTGCTTCCATTACCAGTTAAACTGATCATTGCTACAAGGAAAAATGTTTTCATTACCATTTGCTAATGTTGTACAAGCGCTGTCCGCTGTTCAGTCAGATTTATTTCTGACCATTGTAGGGCAGAAGATAGTAATGGAATGGAGGCCAGAGCAGGTTAGCCTCAGTTTGTCAGTTCTCTCGTACTAGATTATGTAATTCACTTGCAAAACATTGAAAGGAAAGATGGTTTTACCCTGTATGATATCATTGTGCTAGCACTGTAAACTCGGCATTAGTCCTGACTTGTACACGCAGACACACACGCACACGCACACGCACACGCACACACACACACACACACACACACACCACACACACACACACTTATACACATGCACATCGTTTAATAAGTGCAACAGAGCTCCACATATTGAGCAATTGAGTTTTTACTCCAGGGTTTCTATTTTAAATGGGTTATTACATTTTTCATTGGGTAACCAATATTTTGTCACTCATTTATTCATCACTCTCTAGGGTTTTTCCCAAAATTAGTGAACATTTTAAGATTTAAAAAAAATGAAATAATGTTTTAGATGTATATATAACTGTTCTAAATATATATGCTTGACTCAGAAAGCAAATTAGCTCGTAAATGTGTTTCCGAAATTAGCTCCTTTGTACGCATGCCCAAAAAGCATCATTGGGTATTTACGCGTGCTGGTTTATACATTTGAGTTTTTCATTTAATGCATGCGTTTCTGTACACAAGTTAATTGAATATTCTTGGGGGGGGGGGGGGGGGTATTTTATGCAAATACGCTGCTTATCTGTACCTCCAGTGCAATAATCTTGAACATTACGTTAAACCACATTTAACCTTACCTTGACAAGATTCCATACACCGTACATTGTCCTACCAAACACCCATGCTCTATTAGAAACACACTCATCAACAGTGAATGTGCACACCTTGAAACAGTTTTTGAAGGGTTAGCCCAGTGGTTAAAGCGTTTGCCCAGTCTGAAGGCCCAGGTTCAATTCCCCACACGGCCTCACACTCACTCACTCACTCACCTGATCTTACTGCACCAGTCTGCTAAAACCCTTTGAATAATAATGAGCTTTATAATGAATTGACTTGTTTTGTTTGTTTCAGAGCGCTTCGACCATCACTGTCCCTGGGTGGGCAACTGTGTTGGCAAGAGAAACTATCGCTATTTTTACCTCTTCATCCTGTCCCTGTCAATACTGTGTATTTACATATTTGCCTGCGTGCTTACACATCTCATACTGAGTAAGTACCCTTTTTCATGTTTATGATTCAATTGTATTTATCCCCCGCCGCGCGAAAGCGCGAAGCGGGGGATATAGTATTCACGACCGTCCGTACGTCCGTCCGTACGTCTGTCCGTCCGTACGTCCGTCCGTACGTCCCACCTGTTTGTTGCCGCGATATCTCAAGAACTAAACACTGGATTGTCTTCATATTTGGAACTATGGTGTATATACAGACTCCGCAGACACCAGTCGGTTTTGGTGACCTTGATCCCATTTTCAAGGTCACAGCAGACAAATCTGCTTTTAGAGTTGGAAAACGGTGTTGCCGCGATATCTCAAGAACTAAACACTGGATTGTCTTCATATTTGGAACTATGGTGTATATACAGACTCCGCAGACACCAGTCGGTTTTGGTGACCTTGACCCCATTTTCAAGGTCACAGCAGGCAAATCTGCTTTTGGAGTTGGAAAACGGTGTTGCCGCGATATCTCAAGAACTAAACACTGGATTGTCTTCATATTTGGAACTATGGTGTATATACAGACTCCGCAGACACCAGTCGGTTTTGGTGACCTTGACCCCATTTTCAAGGTCACAGCAGGCAAATCTGCTTTTGGAGTTGGAAAACGGTGTTGCCGCGATATCTCAAGAACTAAACACTGGATTGTCTTCATATTTGGAACTATGGTGTATATACAGACTCCGCAGACACCAGTCGGTTTTGGTGACCTTGATCCCATTTTCAAGGTCACAGCAGGCAAATCTGCTTTTAGAGTTGGAAAACGGTGTTGCCGCGATATCTCAAGAACTAAACCTCTCGATTGTCTTCATATTTGGAACTATGGTGTATATACAGACACCGCAGACACCAGTCGGTTTTGGTGACCTTGACCCCATTTTCAAGGTCACAGCAGGCAAATCTGCTTTTGGAGTTAGAAAACGGTGTTGCCGCGATATCTCAAGAACTAATCGCTGGATTGTCTTCATATTTGGAACTATAGTGTATATACAGACACCGCATACACCTGTCAGATTTGGTGACCTTGACCCCATTTTCAAGGTCACAGCAGGCAAATCTGTTTTTGGAGTTGGAAAACGGTGTTGCCACAATATCTCAAGAACTAATCGCTAGATTGTCTTCATATTTGGTACTATGGTGTATATGGCGGGGGATATTTCGTCACTTTGTGACAAATACTTGTTGTATTTTGATATATGTGTGGGCACAGGTACCCAGCGGAATAATTCACTGCGATTTGTTGTGCAGAGTTGCCTCCCTTAGTTTGGATCTGTTGATCTTGGGTTTGAACCCTAGATTGACCCTGATTATTATGCATGGTTTAGTCTTAGAGTGTTAACGAATTCAGATGAAACAGTGAGAGATGACTAAAATATTGTTTCAACTTTCTCACTCAACGCTGTGCTGTACTTAAACATTTACTTATCTCAGTCTTAGCATGACAAGGGGCACGGGTGGCCCAGTCTTCTAAGGCACCGCGATTTGCTGTGCAGAGTTGCGTCCCTTGGGCATGCCAGAAACTTATGATTGTGGGTTCGAATCCCAGTTCGCCCCGATTATGTTTCTAGGTTTGTCAGCGCCATACCCATGCTCGTAGGTTTCACCAAAGTGGTAAACATCTGAAACCTGCATCACTTCGGGCTTTCCTCCCACATTAAGCTGACACGCCGTGATATAACTGGAATACTGTTAAAAGCCGCGTTAAACCCAACTCACTCACTCATTCTTAGCATGACGATCACTTTGTAAAACAAGGCTGTGTTTCAAATTGCATTTCATCATGTTCCAAAAACATTTGAGTCTGCTGGCCCAAACTCGTATGTCATTAGCTTCAGTAGATGTTGTGCCCATGTGCAAGAGACAGCTGACCAAAACTCAGTACTCAAACGGAGCTTCCAGCTCATGGCTACAAAATAATCCAGCTGACATTTTTGGATAGCATGTGTAGAAAATATCTGAAATATGGGTTTATTTATGTGTTTGTCCTTACTGGCACTGGTTCCTGTAACGGTCCAGCAGGCAGGCACTGCCAAATCCAGTGCTAGATAAAGAGCATTGAGTGCACTAATAATCAGGTCCCACTGATTGTAAAAAGTAGGTTTTGCTGCAAAAAAAAGGTGCCTTCTCTCGGTGGGAATAGCAGTTTAGATGAAGCATTTGTGTTTAATTTGGGAAAAAAGATTCTTTATTCACTGTGTCATTATTGATTTGGCTACAGGAGGGCTTTAAAAATCTATCCAGTTGGGCCTGAGATCGATACAGTGACCTGGTAAATTACTCAATTAATACAGGAAAGGGCTATTTTTTAGAAAGTTAGCTTCACAGATGCTGTAGTTGTTTGCCCAGCGAAAGAATGTAGTTTCATGTCATTTTCTAAAGCATTTACTACATTTAAGATACCATTTTGGGGGATGAATTTCTGGCGGGAGGATTTGTGACCAGGTGTAAGCGCTTCGGTTCCATTGCCCACGTGAGCAGGGTTTCAATTTGGCTTCGTTTCCTAATGTCCTAAAGTTTCTTGTCATAATTCATGATCCTCCAGAAGGATGTCCTATAAAAAAAATGACAAAATAATGTAAATCATGTGAATGTTTGAATAACGTTCATTTCTATAATTGTTGTTGTTTGGGAACAATGTCCCCAACTGTCACATTAGAATAAGACAGTACTCCTCTGATTGAAGAACCCACAATATTGTGATGAGATGTAGTAGAGCCCTGTTTCCCATGAAACAAGGAACTTACAGTAGAGATGCAGGAGCAGCATTAGAAGTTGGCACTAAAGTACTCACGGAAATGGAAAAAAACTGTTTTTTCGATCTCAGATTTTAAATAAATGCAGTTAATATACAAAATATATAAATATTCAAACAACTCAATTAGTACTAATTGGTCCTTTTTAAGGGTTTTGCTATATGTTATCATTATGAGGACTAGTGGACTAAAACTGTTAGTTTCTAAAGCGTTCGCTCGTCACGCCGAAGACCCAGGTTCAATTCCCGACATTGGTACAATGTGTGAAGCCCATTTCTGGTGTCCCCTGCCGTGATATTGCTGCCATATTGCTTAAAGTGGCGTAAAACCAAACTCACTCACTCACTCCCCTCAGATCAGAAAAAATTGACAGTGAAGTGATGGACAAGAATTGTTTCTCTGACTCCCAGTCTTCGCATCTTCGAAACAATGTTCTGAACTGTTGACCTTGCTAATGCTGTTTTATGATCAAAACATGTTTATTTCACATTGTTGGTAATTAAGGTCAGATTGATTTCATGATCTAACAATCTGTGAGGATTGTGGAACATGCCTTGCATGACTTCAGCTCAACACGAGGACTTTGGCTTTGATTAGACACCAGTAATCCTCAACATGGTTCCACTAGGCAATTTCATTTCATCCAACTTTAAGATGATTAATTCTTCAAGTATCATTATGTCGCCCATGTGATGCTAATGTGGAAGTATAGTAAGACCACGTAACAGAGGACGTACATGCGGATGACGTGCATGTCACTTGTTCTGAAGCATCTATACAGGTTTCTATGGAAGGCTGTTGTCTGAAGCGTCTACACAGTTTATACCTTTGCAAATTGTGTTATATTTTTCAGATCGCAAATCTCACCTTTTTGGACAAATCAATTGCAGATTTATTTACCCCTTATTTAGAAGTAGTAAGTTCTTGCACTGAAGACACAAGTTCATGTGTACTCTTTGTGGAACATTTTGGGTGTTCCCACAAAGATAAGGTGCTGAAAATTGCTCAGAAAACCTTACCCACCTACATTGTAGAACAGTAGGAGTTTGATGTAGAGGACGTTCCTGGGGTGTTGGGGTGCTGGATCTGCAGAACCTTTACAGTTGAAACCCAGTTGCTTCTGATGTGGAAACTTGGGGAAATACTTTACACTATTTCAGGGGTGTGAAATGCCAATTGTTTTCAGGCACTACCACCAGCTATGTTGAGTTCTGTCCCTACCCCTCTCTCCCCCTCCCACTCACTCACTCACTCACTCACTCACTCACTCACTCACTCACTCACTCACTCACTCACTCACTCACTCACTCACTCACTCTAGTGATTTGATTTCATTCTACTTTTGAAATGACAACCTCCCTTTACCAAATTTGAAAAAAATATCTTCAGGATATTTGGGATGACAATCAGTCAGTTTCTAAGACAATGAACCGATCTGAAACCCAGTGTCAGCTGATTCACCACTGCAAGCACAAGTTTACCTTGATCAAAGTAATGCCATTTGTCATTAACAAGTTCACTGTGATCACTACTGAAATTGCTTTTGATAGATAGGATGAGCTAATTTTAACCAGTTCTCTTTACTGGACATTTGCATGCCCTTGTTGGCAGTGCTTGCATGGCTGGCAGTGAACACACAAGACCAACAGAACCCAGAACAAAGTCTCCTGGCTGAAGCTCTGACATTGACATTTTCTGCCTTTCACTGCTTGAGCCAGTCTCCAGTTACAAGCAAAATTTCCGCTCCTAGAATTACTGATAATTCCTGCTGCCACAAAGTGGTTCTGGCACCATGACCGGTGTAAAACTTTATACGTTGCTGTTGAAGGAGTTGCAAGGGCTCTAGCATAACAAGTCCTTTGGAATGGGGCTCGGTTGTAAAAAGAATCAAGAATATGTGCCAAGATATGACAGGAAATCATTAATGGTGGCGTCAATGGCTTTTAGATCTTTTGGATGATTACAAATTGAAACATTTTCTTATGATCTAAGATTTTGTTGTTTGATTAACAAACAGTACCTCAGTTTTATGTCTCAATATGATATTTTGCTTCAGAAGAAACAATTATTCCCTTGAAATATAACATCCTTACACATGAACCTGGCCTGGAAGCCTTACACAGAAACCTGGCATGGATCGAAGCCTAACACAGAAACCTGGCCTGGAAGCTTTACACAGAAACCTGGCATGGATCGAAGCCTAACACAGAAACCTGGCATGGATCGAAGCCTTACACAGAAA